CTAATCCTGTCATAAATATTGTTACAAGGAAGTATATTCAGATTTCACAGAAAAATTAATTTTTTCAAAACCTTTTTTAAAAAATAAAATGTATATCTGTAGAGAGTAAAACAAAAAGAAAATTACCCCCTTTTGCCTTAACACGAGCATTTAATCTCTGTAGCCAGTCATCAATAGCAGTAGTCACTTCTTGATAAAAGCGCTCAAGTGCTCGGACAAGAGATTATTTGAGGCTTTCCAAGTTAGGAATGTTCTTTTGCAGCCACTGCTGAGTTGACCTGGACTTGTGAGCTGGAGCGTATTTCTGCTGGAAAACCCAATAACTTCCAGCGAACAGAGTATCATTACAGGGACAGGGTATAGAGGCTTAACAATAGGTTCCAAAACATCGTCTTGATAGTTTTTAGTGGCTGTTTTAACTCCTTCTTCACAAAAATGGAGCTTTGTGGTCCTATCAAAGCAATCTCTCCACCAAACCATCACTGAGGAAGGATGATGACCTTTTTTCACTCTTCCAAAGTCTTCCTGGACTTCTTTAGAGCTGTGTGCGTACACACGCCATGTTAGTGATTAAATTTACTTCAATTGTAAACATTTTCGCATCATTAAACAAAATCTTTCAATGAAGACCATTGGTATAACTTCCAAAGTTATTTTGCATCTATCCACTTTTTTTTTAGGGAAGTGGTTAGCCATTGTCCTGTCATTCTTCGAAATGCACCCTGCCTAAGGTTACTTTTTATTATGCGAGACCTTGATCTGACAGAGATTTCCATTTCCCGAGACACGATTTGTTGATTTCTAATGATTCGAGCAGCCACTGATCTCACTGCATTTGTCATTCTCACAGTGCAAGGACGGCCCTATGTCACGGCCCAGTCGAGGTATGTCACATACAAATAGGGTCTCATTACATCTATTTATACTGCGGTACACGAACATACGGCTGATACCCAAAGATTCCTAAGAAATACAAACTAATTGGGATTATTATCCTGACATGTACAGAAAATAACCTGATAGAGGAAAGGATTATCTAAATAATACCCAAAGATGTAAACAACAGTATTTATGGCAGAACTAGAATAATTTGGTTGAAATCGGTGACCCTCAGACTGTATCCTCTCCTTGTTAGTGACTTCTTGTAACAAACCGACGATATATATATTTGTGATTAAAACAATCGTATAATGAAAAATTCCAATTTTACAGCAGTATGTTCATAGCCATCAATTCATATTTGATACTATAAATTATGGTTCAAGAGACAAATTATCATGTCAAAAAAAATTTTTGATTTGATTGTATTACTTCATTTTTGGGGGAATTTTGTTCTATACGCTATTGAAATCGATGTGATTAGATATATGATGTTCTTTTATCGTAGTAAAAACTTGGTTTTTATTTCCTAATAATTTCGTCACTGATGGATTTCTTTTCAGTCAACGATCGTGAATACTCGCATCTTTTCTAGCGTGGGCAAATCACACTGACCTAATCATATACGATGAAGACTGAAGTTCGCTTTTAAACTTGTGACATTTAGCTATCTAATAATTCGTTGCGTTATAGCTCGTGAAAGTTTGCAGGGGTGAATAAGTGGAGCTAAAGAATTTCAAAGGAAATTTTTAGCGTGTCCCGCCTCTTAGCCTATCGCTCTCGCTAAATGTCAAGATTAGACCCTGAGAAATTTTAGCCTCCCGGAGCCTAACCTCACTATCTAACCTAAAATCGAAACTTATAAATTCAGACAAGTTTATTAAATCAACTTGACATTTAAAGAACTGTGGAAATGAAAATGAGGAACCTACGGTATGCTACTTGTGTAATAAAAGTAACATATACCCAATTCTAATTAATTAATTTATAGAAAGTTTTTCTAATGTAATTTTTAAGTCTTTTCTCAGGTATTTCTTACTTAAGTATCGCCAATTACTCTTTCTGTCACTTATTTAGAAATGTTACAGATTTGTCAAATGCACATAGTTTAATAAATTATTACGATTGTACTAAAGTGAACGAGATTATAACCGGAATCATAAACGTATTGTTTTATAATTTTTCATAATTTAACTTTTACACACTTAAATAAAATCAACAGAAACAGTTTGATTTGAACCAATAAAACAAAAATTAATTTTTTCTCCACTTTCTGGAAATGACCGATGTCCGTCTTTGATATGAGGCCACTTATATGATTTCTTAATATTAACTGTCATTTTACTAAAATGAACTGGTGATACTTAAGTTAAAAGGTAATCATCCTTTCCTCTTCTTCAAGAGATTTTTTCGACTGTTTGTTATGAATGAATTTTTTTTTTATTTGTAGTACATCTGGTTTTTACGATAGAATTATAGTATCTTGACGAACCAAATACCAATGATAATTAAAACTTAAAAATGACAAAAAATATAAGATCTGTTTTCGACTGGTTTCAGAAGAAATATCCTCACACCTTTTTTCTTTTTCTTTTATTGGTGTAGGTACTGGTTGTTTTAATGCTTAAGCTATATCAGTACTGTTATAACAGAACAATAAATGCTACACAACACAACTCTGCTGCAGTAATATTTTTTTCTAATTTCGATTTCAAATACATTCTAACATTTCAAATACACATTTTACCCGTAATCAAAATTATTCAGTAATGTTGTCGAAGAACGCATTTATATTATTAAGCTATACTTTAAATTCTTACTGCAAGTTTAATACCAGGGTAGATTGTATGAAGACTCCGAATATAGCTGGTAAGTCGGATTTTATAGATTTCAACGTGAGCATCATCAACAAATTTAAAAAGATTTTACGAAACATACCAGATTCTGTGTTTGAAAGCCCTAAAATTTACCATTATAAATAAATAATACACTCATAATAAATAAATAATACTCTAGCCCAACCTAATTCGTGTGAAAGCATGCAATGGTTATCATGGGATACTTATCATATTTAAAAAAAAAATTAAAATGTTGTTATTTGTTATAGTCAATAGTAAACTGAAGATCTATTGAAATGATAAACAAAAGAGAATACGCTCAATTGCTAGGACCAGAGATTGTTTGAGGCTTTTCAAGTTAAGGTGTGCTCTGTGGCATGCCATCCTCTGCAGTTCGAACCAAAGCCGATAATCTAGTGGATTGAGATCAGGGCTTCCTGAGGGCCAATTCGAGGCATTGATGAACTCTGGAATGTTCTTTTGCAGCCACTGCTGAGTTTACCTGGTCTTGTGAGCTGGAGCGGAATTCTGCTGGAAAACCCAATGACTTTCAGATTCCAAAATATCGTCTTCCACCTAAGATTCCATGAATACCTCGGATAATATAGATACAAACATTATTGTCAAAATTAATATATTACATTCTTATATACGAATATATTAGGAAGAAGAATTAGGGGCATCTGATGGGAAAGTTGTCGTTAGTAATACTATTAGGATTACTAGTTAGTAATACTTTTATGAAGATCACTAATTACTGCACAGTTGTGTGTTACAGGACATGGTCGAAATATTTAAGAAAATATAGAATATAATAAGAAATATGGAACTTTATTTATTCAACGATCAATTTTCGGATTTACTTGAATCCGAGAGTTTAAAAAAATATTTATTACACAAAAATTATTAACTATTGAGCGTTCATGTGTTGTTTCTTGGCCGATTATAAATTTAATTCTGGAGTCGATGTTAGCAACTCTTAAATATCTAGGACAAACACTTATTCGAATTTATATTAATGCATAAATATATAAAAATATATAACATAACAATGATAGTTCTTATACCTTAAATTATTAATGTTATCGTTTTTTGTGAAATGGTATTATGGTTCAAATTCTGAATTATTCAATCGAAAAACTATTTAAAAACTTCATTAGTTTTTTTTTATGGCTTTAAATATTTATTTGCACCTGTCAAATTTTGTTGACAATCAGCAAATGCGTTGGAATACGAGAAATAATGACATGTCAAGCATGGGAAGGATAGTACTCAGGAGCATCTCTTCCCTGACTTGATTCAATTACTTAGGTTGTCTAAGAAAGGAGGTCTCTAATGAGTTGGATGATTTACAATTTTAAATCAAAAAATCATAAGTACATCTTCAAAATACTGTTGTTCTATAGGAATAACGGTTTGTCTCTCATAATAATAGAAATATTAAACAACAAGGTATTTCATCAAAAACATATACTGACATTAATAGAAATTGTAAAAAATATGATATTAACTATTCAAAATAAAATATACTTATTCTTCTTCTTTCTTCGTTCCCCACATTCAAATGGCTAAGTCAGGGAATGACAGGATAAAGTCGGCGCGTGCTTGAGATCCTTCTGGTTGCAGTACAGCTTGGTCACCAACTCACTCGGTTCAGGCCATCTCTACTTCCGTTGTTCCCCTTTAGGAAACGTTTCTGTTAGATTTTCTCTTCCACATTTACAAAAAAGAGTTGGACCAATTTTAAATGTTTTCAAAGGTGTAAGTTAAGTCTGTTTTAAGTTCTAATATCCAGTTCTAAGTTGGAAAATTAAAACCCCTAGGGTTTGAAGTTTGGGTCCTGATTGTTCCACCTCAGCAGCAATTTATTTATGGTTTAATTTAGAAACTTCCTTTGCAAGTTTATCAGGTAATTCATTTTCAGTTAATCCACAATTCTCAGGGATCCACTGCAGGGTGACATGTTCACAGTTAAATGCGTGCCATTATAAATCAGAGGCAAGCTATGACAACCCCGCTTTCCTCGTGGATTTTAAAAACTTGATTATCTTCTTGTAATTTTATTTGTTTATGTTTATTCACTCTTATGTCATAACAGTATTGATATTAATCTGCTATTCCTTGATATATACCTATATGTAGCCTGTGACTCCTTGTGTTTCTAGTTAATTTTTACTGTTAAAACCAAATTTTAGGCTCAGTAGACGAAGTTGATCATACAGCAGTGGGAGCTGAATTACCACAATAACAACTGGTCTACCCGAGGTATCTCGTGGCGTTCGCATGCTTGCTGCTCTCATCGATGAAAACAGCGGTGATAAACTTTTGGATGCAACTCGTAAACTTTGTACGACATTCACTGATCTGCTTAAAGCAGCTGAACCTGCCACAAAGGAGGTAATTCAAATTAGAAGTTGCTTTGTAATTGTTAATTGAAAATTGTTATTTACCTGAGATTTTTTATTTTATTTAGCCACGCCAGAGTCTGTTGAATGCTGCTTCTCGTGTTGGTGAAGCTTCTTCAAGAGTTCTTACAGAAATCCACGAAGAGGATGAAAACCTTAAAGAAGCCCAAGATACACTTCTTGGGCTTGGTAAAGCTGTTGCTAATAAAGCTGCAGCTCTGGTACTTAGAGGAAAAGCAGTTGCTTCAACATGAAATCAACCTGAACAAAATAGAGCCATAGATTTGTAACTTTTTATATTGCAACAATTATTTTCCAAATTATAGGAACCAGTCCTTTCCACCATAATTCCAATTTATAAAATGCATCAAATTAAAATCATCCTACATTTTTTTTTAAGTGAGAACTAAACATTTTTTGAGGGTCTCTTATTTTTATTTTACCTCCTTTATTTAGCTATTTTATAAATTTTAATTTCCATTTACATTATTCATTCTGAAATTATGAACAGTTAAAACACATTTTTTTTTTAAACACATTAATATTATTACTTTTGTAAAATAAAGTGTTTGAGATCACATTTTTGATTTGCTTTAGTTATAATTTTAAAATGTTAATAGTTGCTTTAACAAACTATCTAAATATATATTTTGTTTATTTTCTTTTAAGGTGCTGCTACACAATGTGCCTTAACTATATCTCAGTTGGTCGCTTGTGCTAAGGTTGTGGCACCCACCATTCAAATACTCAAAAGAACAGAAGCAGCGTCGGTTAGAAAAACTATTTTTGATTTCCGAGGGCTCCCTAGTTCTATAAGAATATACTTTTAAATAGTTTTTCATATACAACTCCTTCTTCTTACTCTTTCTTTTCTTGATTAATGCATCAAGATAAATTATTTGGTGGCTGTAGCAACGTTGGATATGTTTTTTTCTATAATTTCTTTTTCTGATGGAATAACGTTTGTTTCCCTGCATGGGAGTTAAGGGTTAAGTTCTCAATATAACCATTGATATTACTTAGCAAACAATTTTAGATTTAACCTTACCATCCCTAAATACTTAAGTTTCTCATGCATTAAATACCGACAAAAGTTATTCTACAAAAAAATTAATTATGAAAACCGTCTCATCCTGCTCCGGAAATCAATTATAACGTCAAATTTTAAAATTTCACATTATCGTAATATGTTGAATAAGTGAAAATATAATTTTAATTTTAATATAAATATTTTTACCGCTTATAATAAATTTTAAAAAAATAGCTGTGAATTAAAAACTCATGATTCCAAACATCGATTGCAATTTTTTTTTTTTTTTTTTTTTTTATTTATAACAATCGTTAGGTAATCCTTAATTTCTAACTTTTTAAGTAGTTTAAGAGAATTTATCATTGGAAACCAGATCCATCGAAAGTGAATAAGCAACAGAATGACTCGCTGCACCCACACCCTTAAAAGATTCAAAGCCGGCATATGGGGAAGGAACAACCCCGTTGCTCGGAGTGAGTTATGTAGCGCGGCCAATTGGTTAGATAGTCCCTTATCTCTTCTTATCGGAGTCTGCTCTGATTGGATGCCGTGGGCAGGGTCTTGTTTCAGGGGATAACTTAGGCCATCTGATACCGCTGGAAGTCATAGGGCGAGGATAGCATATCAAGTCTGTTGAAGATGAATCGTAAAAATTTATGATCATCACTGCATGTACGAATAACCGAAAACTATCGACCAATAAGCTTTAAATAAAGTAATATTTGGGTGCAACGAGTCTTGGTGGATGATACAGCCTTCGTGGATTATTAGTGAGTGGGAGAGAAAAATATTTATTCAGCAGTATTGGTACAAAGTATATTGGAGTTGGAGACAAACGCAACATATTGTATTTATTTTGTTAGAGAATGGTTACAAAAAAATATCAATTCCAATACCTAATTCATCACAACGGGAAAATGTGACTATACTTTTTTATTTTATTTTTTTAAGTGTACCTTGAGACTGTTCAAAATTTTTTTTTGTCATTTTCCTCTTTATTGTACTTGTCTTTCTAGCTCTGAAAAAAGTCTTGAAAGTCATTAATTTTTAAATAAATTATAATTAATAAAAAATATAATTATAACAAAATATAGTTAATAAAAAAAGATTGATACACATTTTTAAAAATATTTGTTGTTTTATTTTAATTCCCTGTCAATTAAATTTTCCAATATCACTATTACTGTCACTATACTGTCACTATCCAATATCACTATTTATTATCACTGTCAACTATTCCCTAATTTTTTTCCCTTTAAATTCAGGCTTTCAACTCTGGAGTAAGGGGATTACAAAAGAAAAATGTATATATATATATATTCGCATGGTCCAGAGTTGGCCCATAAAAAAATAATTATTTATCAATGAAATAAAAAAAATTATGAATAGCTTAATAAACATCTGATTATAATTCAGAAAAATTTATCTCAACTATGAATCAAAGCTGAAACCACCTAATGGATGTTTGAAACATATTCCACGCAAGGAGGAGTTATCCGAATAAAAAACTGACGTTAGTACTTATAAACTAGTAATGAACAGTTGCAAAAAAGAAAACACATGAATTTCTGACAGAAGCAGTAAAAGATATTTCGTTAAAATACCTATAACTTCCTCAATTATTCTTTTTATTGGTCTAGCGCTTTAATATGAAAGCTAGTGTTTTAAGGAAATAACAATGAATCAAAACGTTTTATTTATATAACTAGTACATATTATAGTTATATTAATACACCTGAAACTCTTTGCATACACCTTGTATGTATATATTTGTAGTATATATTTCTTATGTAACATCACATATCAATTTTTAAATAATTAACATTTAATAAATTTTAATAAAATAGTATAAATAATAATTAATTTCTTATTTTCATTGTCATTGCTTAGGAATTGTCAAAAAAAAATTGGAGAAATATTTCGTTTTTTTCTATTTCTTGTTTTTAAAAAGATACTAGAAATTAGACAATTAATTACAGAACTTCAACCGAATTCTCTTGACATGGGGCTTCATTGAGTCTTTGCTAATCAATACGTTTATAGTTCCCTTGTACTTTATATAACACAATGAACCCTCGCTATTGATGCAAGATGACCCCGATGTTTGCCTTTAATATTGTACCAACGTTCGTGACTGTTGTTTCGAAACACGTGAGCTGGAGTATATTGAAGTCTGCCCATCCTAAAGGTCACAGATATGCTTTGGCTATTCATAAATGTCATCTGCTGTATTATTTTTTCCTAGCAGGCATTAATCGATAACAATAACCTTTGAAAACTTCGATAAAAAGATATGTTTCGCTTTTATTTGGAATTAATTAGACGAAAAAAACGTTATATCGGATAATGTAATAATATATAACTTCTTATTTTGTAATTATATAATAAATAAACTCGGAAAGGTATTTAAATTATAAAGTATGTTTGAATTGAGCGTGCTCAAATCTTTGAATCAGCTAAACTTACGGTTTCATTTTGTTGCAATCCTAAATTAATTATAAACGTCCATTTAAGTAATACAGTCCGATTATTATTATTCTATAGCTTAATAATGGGCACTGAAACAGAAAAGACACTGCATATTATTTACAAAACTAACACTGATGTGAAATAGTAAAACAATCGATAACATTATTTTTTTTTTAATGTACTGAATATTAACTTGAAACGTTGAACATTGAAACGTTAAGTCGTGAAGACAAGTGCGTTTATAAATTAATTACTATTTAATAATTAAATTAAATTAATTTAAAAAATTCTTCCTATTTTTATAATTGCAAGTGAATGAGAATCTCCTTAGCAACTAATAAGGATGAGGCATGAACTCAAAACATTGAAAAATAATTTTTCATTTGTTACAAAATAAATTAGTAAAATGACAGATTCTCCTTCCCCCATAATTTTTAAAATTACTAAAAATGTTTCCTGAAAATTAAGAAATACAAGAGAAAGAAATTTATATCTGATACTGTTCAGTATGATTATTTATCTGTTTATTTTGCTTTATAAATATGGGAAAAAGCGTCCGAGGGGAAGACCGAAGCGAAGGTGGGTGGATTGCGTTAAGGCTGATTTTGCGGGGTTGGGTTTAGACGGAGCCCGGTGGATGGAAGAATGTGGACATTGATTGGTGGTATCGGCATCGAACCTTCGGGTTCGCTAAGCCTTATTATTATTATAATATGGTGAAATAAATTCAATACTTGTTTAAGTCCACTAGTTACAATAAAAAGAAAGTTCTTAAAAAAATAACTGAAATTACTGTACTCACTTTCTTCAGAATCACCAAACTGAAAATTAGACTGAAATTAAATAAAAATTACTACTTAAACACATAAGGGCATTCACCTCACGGATTTATAGTTCAGAAAAAAGATGCACATACAAAAATATCTAGGCTTGTTAAGTACGTAAATAACAAAAGTCTACACACCGCATTATAACCACCAACACATACGTTCTATTTATTTCCGATTTAATATTAAGTTCACAACGTATACCACAATATATATTAACAAACTATAAACAAAATATCTATGCTATCAATGCTATCATGCCCAATAAAAGGCGACTAAAAAGGAACTGGATCCTGGAAAGGACCTTCGTTCATGAATTGAGGGTCTTAATCAAGACCGAGAAGATGTACCCTAATGTACTCTCCATCCCATACTTGTATTTTCATATACAAAATGTATCAGTACATTAGCTTATTGTTACCTTAATTTGTGAGCAGTATGAACAGAGTAATGAAACGAAAATTATATGTGTGTACTAAATATCAGAAAAAAAAAACAATAGAGTAATGCTGATTCATCAAGGCCTAATACTAATTATAATACTCCACACATATATATCTTTTCATAAAATTTATCGTCGAAGTTTATTTCACATTTTTCACTACACTAGCTTATTGTTCACCTTCATCAAGTGACTGGTTTAAATGGAGTAATGGAACGAAAATTATATTTATGTACTAAATTTAAGAAAACAAACCAATAGAGTGATGCTGATTCATCAAGGCCTAATACTAATCATAATATTCCAAATTTATATTTTTTTATAAAATATTTATAAGTGGAATTTATTTCAATTTTCGCATTTTAGGTGGTAGTATTGCTAGTGTTTTTTTTTTGGATTTTTTAAGTACTGTTACCGGACATATTATGAAATATTGTAAATAATTATTAGTTAAAAAAAAGAACATTGACTACACGAATATAACTG